CAATATAACAAAGTGAAAAATTTAAGGGGGTCTGAATACTTTCTGTACCCACTGTTTCTGAATCTGCCTATATGTTGGCCAGTAAGTGATACGAAATTTCAGCACATAAATGCCTAAATATCTTAGAGGTAGTTTATATAATTTGTCAAATATTTTAAGGGATTCTTATCAAAAATCTTTGCTTAAGTTGTGTGCATACTGGAAGATGGTTTTCAGAAAAAAAACTTTCTAAATCAGTATCAGCCTAAAAAAATTTGAACTGATTGTGCCACAGATGACAAATAATATAGACCTTTTGTAGCTTACGTCATGAAGTTTTTTTTTTTTTTTTTGTATTCGTGTATGGTATCCGCACTATCAAAAGAAATCTGAAGACTACCGGCCCTTCAATGCTTTGATGGGACAATGCAAATGAGGAGACACATTTCTTTACCACACATTCTACAATCAGCAGTGAAAATTAACCAATGTAGGATTTAACTTGACTGCTCTGAAATTCTATAAAATGTAAAACTCATTATCCCCTCACTTTTGACCCTTGACCCTCTACATAGCTCCCACCCACCTAAATGTAGACTCGCTGCCGTCTAGCCAGTAGTACTGTGAGGAGCAGTCTGAGCTGCTGTCCTCTTCTCCATGGTTACGACGGAGACCGATCCAGAAGTCGCCATCAGTTGGCCGGAGCTCTGTGATGAGCTGCTCTATGATCTTCTGCTCAGACGCTGACTCCACGCTCAGCAGCTGCCCTCCATCCCGTCTGCAGGCAAGCTCTGCCTCTACGAAGTTCAGCCTCCGCCGGAGTTCAGAGAAGTAGGCCAGCTTGTAACACGGCCTCCCTTTACCTGCTTTGCACACACGTTGACCTGCACCCACACACAAACACATCAATATACAATGACAAATTTGCACAGTACAACGCAAGAAACCTTACTGAGCTTTTAATGAGAATTTTCTACCCACAACTACAGAGGTAGAGTTAGGAGTGTGCTGCCTACCTCTGGCTTCAAATATATCCGCTTCAAGAGCCAAACAGTCAGCGTAGAGTCAGGAAGACAGGCCACAATGAAACCAAAGATATAGTCATAAGTGACTGGAGAGTTTGTACTATGCTGTGTTGTATGTTTCAATGTGTGCAGGCTTACCTGTAATGAGGCTTGTGGCTGCCGCGGGATCAGAGCATACAAGTAGAAGGTGACAGAGGATCGTTAGCAGATCCATGTTTGTCAGCCTTTTGTCAGCTTTTTTATTCTGCTCTGTAGTCATAGTGGAGCTCTGGAGAAACCAGATAAACTCTACCTGAACCTCAAAAGGTGAGCTGTCGCTTCAGTTGTAGAAAATGCTCAAAAAACGTTGAAATTCAAAGAGAAGGTAAGTCAAGAGGTAAGTCTCCTGCTCCTTCTGCTGAAAGAGAGGGTATGTGAGACAGAAGGAGGAGCAGCAAGAGGAGGGGAACTGTGTGTGTGTGTGTGTGTGTATGTTTGGGAGGGGGTGTAATCTGTTAAGAGCAGTCTTAATGATTGGGAGAAGAAGCTGCATCGACTGCAAGACATCTAATCATCCAAGTGCTTCTCATTGTAAACGCTGACAAGAGGCAGATTTCACTTCTTCCTGTATTATTTAAGCTTTGCGTATTATTATTACAAAAGTGTTACATGAAAATGATATCCTCTAACTCAATCAGGGATATTTGAAAGTGTTTCTCCCACATCCGCCTTGCAGCATCTTTTAATCTTATTTTGTTTCAGTACAAAGCAAGGCAGTCAGCACAGCTAACATTTGCAACAAGAGGGGCAAGGTGTGTGCTTTTCTTTGGTTTATTATTAAAAACTTTTATAGCTTGTTTTAAATATTCTTCAGTTATGTAAAACTCAGCTAGCCTGCTTCATCGGGGTTGCAGGTGCGGTTATATTATAAGTAGGTGTTATAAGTAATATAAATGTAGATTTTTCAGGGCCTTTAAATGTCTGTGGATCAGAAATAATAGTTAATAAATAGAAATTATAGTAGAAATAATGTTGTAAAATTAAAATAGAAGATAGATAAACATGTCAAATAAGTATTCTTAGAGAGCACAAAATAACCATCTAGCACTTCTTGTCAGGTTTGCTCGGCCGCTCTGGCCTCCCTCACCTTTCCTACTGTCTCTTGCCCATTAACACTAATCACGTTCACCTGTTCCTCACTCCCTTATCACCAGCTGCACTTGATTAGGTTGCTCACTATATTACCCGGTTTCACTCCTCAGTCACTTGCCAGTTCGTTCTAGTCTCTAGGCCAACTTTACTCCGTGCGTTTTCATTGTTTTGTATGTATTTATCCCCTAGCCAGCTACTGTTTTGTGTTCCCCCCATGGACTGTTCCTCCAGACCGTGGCTCCACTCTCCCCTCCCAGGCAGGTCAAAGCTCAGTCGCCTATCTGTTCCACTATTGCCTTCATCTCTCTGTCTCTGCCTTCAGTAACCACCATCACCACCGACCAGCCCAGGAGTGACCCAGCCTACGCAGCTCGGCCCAGTTCTCCATCTCCTCACCTCCTACTGTTGGTCAAACACCCGGCTACTACTCATCAACAGGACCATGCACTATTTCCCTGTGTGCATTTTTACTCTCCTCATCACTGTACATAATAAATCACTGCTTGCATCAAAGTTGGCTACCTGGGTCCGCCTCTTTCTCGTTCGCTCACTGACTGGTGCGAATGGCACATAACACTTCTATAAATATTTTAAATATTGTACCTAAATACAAGGCTAGTGAAAAGTTTAGTTTATCTCAAAGAAGATTTGTTAGCTTGGGAAACCGACAAAGCCAAACAAGCTGTTTCTTTCTGTCGTTCCCAGCCGAGCTACTGTAAGCTGCTCACAGTAACGTTAGAAGTTGTTTAATCACAAATTATCAGCATTTAATGAAAAGGACTTATTTTCCAAAACTTTTAACCTTTACTATAAGATCAGTAAGGAAGAATAAACCCAGAAAATATTAGATTTTGTTAAGTTTTAATTTAATTTCAGAAACTCATATGTCAAATTATTCAGATCAATATTTGATGTTACAGTCTAGTAAAAGCACTGCTCAGTTTAGTAGTTCCACTGCTTTCTGTAGGCATATCATTTTATATGCAACTAGCAGTCAGCAGAAACCGTGGATGCATGTGAACGCTTTTCTGAGCACAAATTGAGGAGAAAGTGTATGTACGCAGTTCTTAATGGTAGTAATTTCTAAAATGGCCCATAAGGTTGATTTAGGGCTTGTAAGAGAGACAGATCAGCCAGAGTTTAAACAGCGCAATGCTTCATCAGGAATATGCTGTGCGTGCTAGCGCTGAATAGGGAGTTGGGGGGGGGGTCCATCTGGGATTATTCGGTGATGCTCTGAACAATAAAGGGGGGACTGAATAGGGAATGGTTCTTGTTTTAAATTTCCTTCTTGTTTACCGCATCTGAGACTAAGAGAGGGGTTCATTCAATTAAGACTTTCCCATTTGCCCCCCACCACACTCTGTCTTCTTCTGTCTCTGCCTTTCTCATCCCACTGACCACCTCCCTCTCTCCCAATTAGTTAAAGGGAAACCAGATGAATGCTCCCATGGGAAGCCAGTACATCACTGACCAACACAGAGCTACGCAGACACACACACACACACACACACACACACACACACACAGACACTCCCTCCCACACAAAGCAGGCGGTTCACCATGTCACGGAAGCCTAACATTAATGTTGAAAATTCACTGCAGTTAGTGTGCATTAGGTAAGACATTTAATGAATGTACATTTTCCCTGAGGCAAAGCCTGACAGTCTAATGGTCAACAGATCATAGTTACACAGTAAAATAAGATGGTTTGGAGCCATAAACCAACTCTGACCACAACAAATCATGTGTAATGCAGTGGCCTTGTTTCTTTGTGGGCTCTAATAATGGAGACCTGAAAGAAAAACTCAGTTCATTTCCATCTGAAGGCCAGAAAGAGAAAGGAAAACCTAATTATACGCCAAAAGAAGAAGCTAACTTTCCACTAAATTCAGTTTAAGTGATCTGAGCTGGCATGCCGCCAGACTGAGTGTCCGCATTGCGTAGGCCTGCATGGAGAGCTGGAAACTGGCTCTCAGTGCCTGACCTGTGGGAGAGCTGGGTGGCCGCTCTATCAGCAGAGCTGAGCAGACGAGTTCTGATGAAGCATTTTAAGTGCTGTTGTAATCCTTAAACCACTTACAGTTTGAGTTATTAGGTAAATCACTTTTGCAATTCAAAAACACATAAATATGAATTATTATTATTATTTTTATTATTATT